TTTTTCTCAAATGTAGAAGCGAAGCTCGGAGGCGCGCCGCCGCGCGCGCGGCGGCGCCCCGCTATGCTTCTATGTTATTCACCATTAATCAATCTACGCTTAATTCCAAAGGCGAAGTCGAAAATTTTGTCACCGCGCGCGCGCTTCCTAGCTTCAATTCTGTATTTTAGAAATATAAGAAGCAGACGCGTTCCTTCAGCCTCCTGAAAGGGCACCAGAAATTGTCGATTTCGTCTGTGGAATTAAATGTAGATTTACTAATGGTGAGTAATATAGAAGTGGAGCTCAGAGGTGCACGCGCGCGCACCTCCGAGCTTCAGTTCTGCGCGATAGAAAGCGCCGACGCGTTCCTGGGGAAACTAAGCGCATGAGCTACCCTACGCGATCATATGAACATCTTACTTTTCATTAAGCGCTTACAAATTAAATCTGATAAGTTTTGAATTTTGGATTTTCGCTTATTCCTTCCCCGCTCCTCTCCCCGCCCCTGGCCCCCCCCCTGCTCTTTTTCTTTTCCTCTATACATGCATATATATATATATACATGCATGTTCTCTGGAGTTTGCTTGATCATCTTTTTTTAAAAAATTATTATATCTCTCTCTCTCTCTCTCTCTCTCTCTCCTCTCTTTAACATTATATCTCCTCCCCCCCGCGGCCCCCTGAAGAGGAGAAGGGGGGGGGGGGGGCAAGGAGGCGGGGGCCAAGGATGAAGAGGAGGATGAGTCGCGGCGAGGCCGACCGAGCAGAACGAGCTGAAGACCGCGACGGGCGAGGAACCCTGGAGCTACTCCATCGAGGCCGGCAGAGGCATCGAGCCGAGACTGGCCAGGGAGAGGCCCGAGGCCGCTGCGAGCTGGCCCGAGAACGCGCCCCCAGTGCCCGACTGGAGCTTGCTAGACGGCGAGTGCTTCGCAGTCGAGGACTTGCCGAGGGACCACGCGGACGACGAGAACCCCTGCCTCCTCGAGCTTGCAGAGCTAGACCTCGGGCTCACAGACGAGCAGCGAGAGATGATCAAGCCGCCAGAGGAGCGCATCAGGAACACCCAGTTCCCGCGCGCCCTGGAAGGCCGAGCCAGGCTTCGCAAGGGAAACAAGCGCAATAACAAGTGGGCGAACAAGTTCCGAGGCCAGCACGCGGGGAAGCTGGCGGCCAAGTGGAACAAGGCGAATCGCGAGCAGAAGGGCCGAGGCGCACTCGAGAGCAAGAGCCGAGGCATCGCCAAAGCGAAGCCGACAGGGCGAGCCCCCAAGCCGAAGACCTCCTTATCAGAAGGGCTCAAGCAGAAACTGAAAGCGAAGCATAACAAGACGGCGACAGACAAGAAGAAGCAGAACGGGGGCCTCGAGCCTTGCAAGGGCTCGCCCTGGCACGGCAAGATCGCGCGGGTCGACGAGGAGTGCTTGCACGAGGGCAGGCACGGCAGAGTTCAAGACGTCTGGCGCGTCAAGGACTGCGAGGGCGAGTGCCAGCTCCGGGTGCTCGAAGTCGAGACGGCGGCGATCTTCCAGATCCGTTCCAGCCAGGCTCGAGGGGCAATGGGGCAAGGGCGGCCGCCGAGCAGAAGGGCCAGCGGAAGCAGAGCGGAAGTTGACGCGGAAGCCGAGCGGGAGCTCGCGCGGAAGCCGGGCGGAAGGGCAGCGGAAGCCGAGCGGGAGGTCGCCCCTAGTGACCCATCGGCCCTCGAGCCTGGGAGGTCGCGGTCGAACAGGAGTGGGCGCCCGCCAAGCCCCTCAAGATAGATTGGCGAGTGTGCAGGATGTTCAAGCGCACCGAGCTCGCCAAGCATCTGGCGATCACGAATTGCGAATTCGTCGAGAAGAACCGCGCCCTCGAGCTCGGCGCAGTGCGAGCCCTGATAGGCGAGATCGAGGAGCGAGTGGGCGTTCCCGAGGATGTCCTGCTGATCGAGCCGATAATCGCTGTCACCTGGGCTCGAGGAGACCAAGGCGACGACGAGCCCACGGCCGAGGCCCAGAGCGAGCAGGAGGCCTGGCTCGAGAAAGTCAAGAACGCCAAGCACATCTTCATTTGCGTCCACAGCGAGAACCCAGCGCACCACACCTACCTCAAGGTGACCAAGGAGCACGCCAACAGGGCCATCGAGAACCGAGACGCACTCAAGGTACCGTCCGAGTCCGCCAAGCAGGCGGCCACGAGGATCCTCCACAAGCTCCTGGGCCCTGAGCTCGAGTGCCCCGCTCCGAGCAACACGAGGTTTCAACTTGACGGGTGGTCATGCGGCCTGTGGGTGACGAGGTGGTTCGAGCGCGCCCTGCGCGAGATCCGCGGCGAGGGCCGCCTGCCTCCGAGCACCATCCAGGACATCTACTCGCGAGGCAACGAGTGGATCCAGAAGCTGCTAGATGCGAGCGGCAACGCTGCCGCCCAGGCCGAGGCAAAGGGCAAGGCCAAGCCCAAGGGCAAGCCAAGAGCAAGGCCAAGGACCCGCTGGAGGCCGAGCCCAAGCACGCCACCCTCGAGGCAACCCTGCAAGCGGCCAAGGATTGCGAGAAATGCGAGATGCTCAAGGACGGGTCCAAAGGATGCAGGGCGTGCATGGGCGAGCACTTCGAGGCGGTGCGCAAGAAGGGTTTCCTTGCGAGGGCAGCCAAGGAGTTCGAGAGCAAGGTTATGAACATTTGACCGCGAGCAGTCTCAGCTGTTCCGAGCTTCTACACGAGACCCTCGCACAAAAAACAAAAAACGATTCCGAGGATGTCTCAAGCGAAATAAGCAACTGCTCGAGGATATCTCAAGCGAAACAAACACTTATTTGAAGGATGTCTCAAGCGAAATAAGCAATTATTTGACGATGACTCAGGCGAAACCAACAATTATTCCGAGGAGGTCCCAAGCGAAACAGACCATCATTTCGAGGATGTCTCAAGCGAAACCAACAATTCGCTGAGTATGTCTCAGCGAAACAAACATTTATTTCGAGGGTGTCTCAAGCGAAACGAGGGATTTGTAGAGGATGTCCCAAGCGAGACAAGGAATGATTTCTTTGAGGACGTCTCGAGCGAAACAAGCAAGACTGATCTCCGTAGTCATTTGGTGGCTCAAGAGTCCGAGCTTCCCAAAAGTTTCACAAATCAAGGCCCAAGCCGACGCGACAGAGCGGCAAGGCTCCGAGTATCGAGGATGTCTTTGCCGAGCTTCTTCGACATGGATGATATGCACGAGATAAACACGCAGCTACCGCTCGAGGCACCCATGGAGAGCGAGAAGCGCGAGGACCCCATGAAGGAGGAGAAACCGCTTCAGGACTCCAAGGGGAGCGGGAACGACAAACCGCTCGAGGACGTCAAGAGCCAGAAGCGCACCAAGGAGCTGGAGGAGATCCCGAGCAGCAGCGACAACGAGGAGAAGCGAGCCTACCAGAAAGCCAAGCGCCGCAAGTCCGCACCGCAGCCAGAGGACGAGGAGCCCGAGGACGACGAACCCGAGGACGACAGCGGCAAGCGCCCGAAGCTTGAACCCGAGCCTGTTGTACAGGCGCTCTCCGAGCGGCTCCAGCGCAAGTAGGCGCTCGAGGGTGCGCCCTAGCCTTAGTAGGTTTTTTTTTTGAAACAAGCAATGATTTCAAGGATGTCTCAAGCGAAATAAGCAAAAAAATGAAGATGTCTCAAGCGAAACAGGCAAATATGTCGAGGATGTCTCAAGCGAAACAAGCAATTCGTTGAGGATGTCACAACCGAGACAAATCATTGTTGAGGATGTCTCATAGAGGACCAAAGACCAAGGGTTCTCAAGATATCTTTGGTTTTTTCCTCTTGATATATCTTTATGCTGGCTCTGGCGGGCAACTTTTATTACCCCCCCGAGAACCCCGAACTTTATTATCCCTTAGGGTTTATTGTCTGCAGCATGGGGTTATGCACTGACCCCGGGTCGAGGGGGGCCTTGCGCAAGGATCGATCGGTGCATGTACATAATTCGCTCTCTGCGCCCGAGCGGGTCGTTCTCCGAGGACGATTCGGGCACCTCCTCCCTCCTCCTCCTCCTTCTCCTCCTCCTTCTCCTCCTCATCCCCCTCCTCCTCCTTCTCCTCCTCCTTCTCCTCCTCCTCCTCCTCCTCTTCCTCCTCCTCCTCCCTCCTCCTCCTCCTCCTCCTCCTCCTCCTCCTCCTCCTCCTCCTCCTCCTCCTCCTCCTCCTCCCGCAGCCCGTGCTGGGACGACTGGGGCGACTGGTCGCCCTCCGAGAACGACACGTCCCAAAACCGTGCGGTCACCCCGAAGCCCCACCGTGACTCAACACACTGAGCGGCCACTGCACCGTCTGTGGGCCTCCGAGAAGATATTCGGCGGTGGACAAACCTCCCTTTAGTAAACCTCTCCTTAGTGAAAACGGCCTGGGACCGAAACCGACGGACCTGGACCCGCAAAAACGACGGCCGCGACGTCCTCTCGCGAACCGAAAACGGCCAATTCCTCAATCGACGTGTCAGGGTAGGAGGTCTGTCCACCTCCGATATATGCGCAACACGCAGGGGAGGCCAAGCCCAGACGGAGACCGAGCACTCCGCATCGACCTACTCCGCATGGATTTTTTGGCCTCCCAGCAGAGGAGGCTGGGCCAGGCTTACGTCCCGACGGAGCAGGCCCAGGCGGAGACCGAGCACTCGATGGACCTAGCCTCCTACCAGGAGAGGCCAAGTCCAGACGGGGTAAGCCCAGACCTAAGTCGGGCCTGTCCCCCTACAGGGGGATTTTCGCCGAAAAATAAAAAGTACCCTAAAAATAATACCAAAATAGCCTGGGGACTATTTTTTGAGTACGTTTACCTTTTGAAGTATTTTTAGAGGTATGTTTTATTTTTCGTCGAAAATCTCCCTGTAGGGGGACACGCCCGACAGAAGCCCAGACGGGGACCGAGCAGTCCGTTCGGACTCTCTCCTGGTGGACTTAGCCGCCTACCTGAAGAGGCTAAACGTTCAGGCGGAAAAAGGCCGGATGGAGACGGACAGCTCCGCATGGACCTGCTCCGTATGGACTTAGGTTAGCGTGAGGTAAGCGAGTCCTGAGGGCAGCGCGGGGGCGGCGGAGGGCGAGGACGCCGCAGGGCCCCGAGCGCGCGGCCGCGGGCGCCCCGGCCACGTGGCCTCTGGACCCGCGCGCGTCGCGCGGGCTGCGCGGCGGGCGGCGGCGGCGGCGGCGACAAGAACGTCGACGACGACGCCGACGACGACGACGACGACGACTACGGCGACGGCGGCGGCGGCGGCGGCGGCGGCGACGGCGGCGGCGGCGGCGACGGCGGGGGCGAGGGCGAGGGCGAGAGCGAGGGCGAGGACGGCGACGACGAGGACGACGACGGCGGCGGCGGCGGCTGCGGCGGCGGCGGCGAGGGCGGCCCCACGCCGCAGGGGGCGGCCACGGGCGGGTTCCTCGCCCTTCTTCTCGAAGGCGAAGAGGACGCGGGTGCCGGAGTCCGCGGTCTCGGCCCCGGGTGGCGCGGCGGGGCCCAGGAGGACGAGGGCGAAGGCACGAGGGGACAAAGAGCACGGGGAGGAGCACGAGGGGAAACAGGAGGACGACGACGCAGAGGGCGAGAAGGCGGGGGCACGAGGAGGAGGAGGAGGAGGAGGAGGAGGCGATGCGAACTCCGAGGTCGTGAGCGCCCAGCGCCCAGGAGAGGGGGAAGGAGTGCCGAGGGGAGGACCAGGAGGAGGCGGAGGGTGGGACGAGGAGCGCGAGAGATTCCCACGAACATGCGAGCCATCAGGGATGTGGCAAGGTGGGGTTGCACAACTCAAAAAACCATCGACGGCCTCGCTTCTGGCAGACCCGCTCTTCATCTGCGACTGTTGCAGAGCTTGAGACTTTGCATCGTCCACGATTGCGAGTTCTTCTCAGATTTCCGACCATATTGGATGCTCTGGAGGCCTTTGGGATACCGCGGGGACCTCTGGGGACCTCCATATCCTTACTGCTGCTGATTGTCCACTTTGCTCTTCCTCCTCTCCTCCTCCCTCCCTGTCATTTTCCCCCTACTCCCTCCCCTGACCTCCTCCACCTCCTCCTTCACTTCAACTTCCTCCTGCCCTTCCACCTCCTCCTCGTACTCCCCCTCCTCCTGTTTCCATCCCCTCCTCATCCTCCTCTTCTCCTCCTCCTTCTCCTCCTCCTCCTCCCTCTCCTCCTCCTCCTCCCCCTCCTCGGGGTGCTCAAGAGCCGCCACGGGCGCGCCAAGACCGGCGCGCCTCGTCCACCAGGATGTGGGCGAGCAGGGACGTCCCAGGCAGCATAGTCGTCAGGAACTTGACGTAGAACCTCAGCATGGTCGTCAGGCAGCATGGTCGTCAGGCAGCACGGTCGTCAAGCAATATGGTCGTCGGGCGTCATGCTGGCCAGCAGGGACTGTGGCTCTGGACTCCGCCTGGAATCATCACGCCCTCAGGGCGCAAAGACGAGAGAAACAGGGGAAAAGGATGAAACTACCAAGGGAACAGCTAGACCGCCAACGACTGCCCTCAAAAGCACCAAGGGTCGAGACGCAAACGAGCGTGAAGCACGCAGACTCGGGGAGAGGAGGGGGAGCTGGAGGGAGGGGGAGGAGGAGGAGGAACGGGGACGGAGAGAGGGGAGGCGGAGCGGCAGGAATCGGTATGCCCTGGCCCCACTTGGGCATTCACACACACAAACACACCAAGCAGCCGCTCTCCGTCCTCCTCCTCCTCCTCCTCATCCTCCATCTCTGCCTCATCTGCCTCCTCCTCCTCCTCCTCCGTCTCCTTCAGTGCCCTCTGC